TATAGATATATAGATAGATAAGAACAGATAATGGATGGATGAGATAGATAGATAGATAGATGGATAATAGATAAGAACAGATAGATGATAGATAGATAGATAGATAGAGATAGATAGATAGATAGATGAAAATAGATGGATGGATGAACAGACAGATAGATAATAGATAGAATAGATAAATAGATAGATAGATGGATGGATAAGAACAGACAGATAAGATGGATAAGAACAGATAGATAGATAGATAAAGATAGATAGATAGATAGATAGATAGATATGAGTAGATAAGAACAGACAGATAGATAGATAGATAGATAGATAGAACAGATAGATAATAGATAATGGATAGATAGATAAGAACAGACAGATAGATAGATAGATAGATAGATAAGAACAGACAGATAGATAGATAGATAGATAGATAGATAGATAGATAAGAACAGACAGATAGATAGATAGATAGATAGATAGATAGATAAGATAGATAGATAGATAGATAGATAGATAGATAGATAGATAGATAAGAACAGACAGATAGATAGATAGATAGATAGATAGATAGATAGATAGATAGATAGATAGATAAGAACAGACAGATAGATAGATGAGAAGACTGCGGTAGATAGATAGATAGATAGATAGATAGATAGATAGATAGATAGAAAAAACATTCAGACGTGTATGTTTTCTGTGTCAATACATGCATACATTTTTTTCAATGTTAATGTATTAAGAGAGCAATTACTGTGTGAGTGTGAGATGATTTATCGATAGCCAGACATCTTTTGTACCTGAAGTTTTGATATGTTTTCTGTATTCATTATAAAATATACGCAAAACAATGTTACAGAAGAGATTTAACAAGACAGAAATGGAATTGACAGCTGCAACTCAATAATGGTTTTTGTATGAAGAGGATCAATAGAGTTGTTTTTTTTTATGCTGCCTTTTTCTTTTCTTTCTTTTTATTTTTGGCTTCTAATATAAAACGTGTAATTTCTATATCGATCCGGTATTCGAGATGCTAAATTTGAAATGTTAGTTGATTGGGATGATTTAATTCATGGCAACCCTCACATATTTCAAACGGAGAGTTAAAAATAAAATGAGAAAACAAAAATACAAATTCAAAGCCGCACAGCAGAATTAAAGATAGCGAGACGAAAGATATTAAAAAAAAAAAAAAAGATATAAAATATTTTAAGATATGTAAATATCATAAATATGACCGATGTTACATAAACCTCCAAGAAATTCGAATGACAGGAGAAACATATATGATACTGATCTATACTTCTATTACATTGTTCTGTAAATAAGGTCTCCGTTAAAAACGATATTCGACACCGTGTTCGTTTTTCGTTCATACACTTTCGAGTGCCTCAGTCATTATGAAGAACTGTCGTCAATTTGATAGACAAGATTTTTGTTGGCTACAAACTGACCTTTGTTTGAGGCTTTGAATTCATGTAAGTCGAAACTAACGCTATGTGTAAAATGATTATATGTATCTAGACGGAAATAAATCAAAAGTTTATACGCACTCCTATTAGAGTCTGTCTATATTTCTGAGATGAGGTATTATGTACATTATTTACATTAATCGGACTATTGTCCTAATCTTTGTCGCCATATTTATCACAACGTTTCGGCCGTTGTACGCTCCGGCCTTCTTCAGGTGGTTGGAATCTCGAACTGAACCCTTTATTTCGCTCACTGGGGTAGACTGTTCTAGTTCCACGTGCCATGTTTGATGGATGTCAGTTATCAGTTATCTCCTGTTAATTTCCCTGTGAAAGTTTCCCACTGCCTTAACCGGGTATTGAACTCACACTCTTTGGGTCCTGTCACTGGATCTAACCAACGCCTTTATCAGAAATTAGCAGGAGATAACTGATAACTGTCATCCATCAAACAGTCTACCCCAGTGAGCGAAATAAAGGGTTCAGTTCGAAATTCCAACCACCTGAAGAAGGCCGGAGCGTACAACGGCCGAAACGTTGTGATAAATATGGCGACAAAGATGAGGACAATAGTCCGAATAATGTAAATAATGCACTCCTATTACTTGGTCCGAATATAGAATATTTTATACACACTTCAAGACATCGTTTCCTCTGGTGAAAGGGCTTTCTGTAATCCTGCATAAAATTTGTGAGTTTCGTGTTTTAGTCAACAATGAGAAGAAGGTTGCAATGAACCGTTCTCGCTGATGTTTGGACTCAATTTGCTTTTTGTGAACGTATTTCTATCTGAAAGTTAAAAAAAAAATTAAAATAAAATAAAAAATAAAAAAAAATACTCGTTGTTACATTCACTAATCTTTTCTTTTATGCACCCTGTCCATTCACGATATTAACGATCATGGGTCTCTCCAATTTCCTCCCTTTAATAAATTTTGGATTTTTGTTATCTTTTCTAAACACTTTTCTGCCACCCATTTGTTCAAGCTCGCCAGCAGGATTATTATTATTTTTCTTTTTCTGTTCGTCTTCCATTAAATCCGCCCCGTGAGTATCAGATTTCCAAACAATTTTTCCTCATTATGTTACCACGAACTTTCATCTAATTCTTTCTGATGTTAAGTTTAATTATCCCTTTTGTTTCCATTTTCTCTAAAACTTCCCCATTGCTTATGTGTTCGGTCCATGGTATTCGCAGCATCATTATTTAGAACCACTTATCTCTTGTTTCACTTCTCGTCTTTATCTGCGAGGAAATTGACCGGTATTTACTGACATGTTGGAGGATTGGTGTTACATAAGAGTCTTGTACTCTTTGCTTCGTTTCTTACGAAATTACAAGCCAATAATCACGTGTAACAATTAAGTTTTCTTTCTTTTTTATAAGCCAAATAATTTCTTTCACAATCATGGCGTTCTATAACCTCCTGATATTTCTCGCTCTTTTCCCTCATTACTATTTTCTTTTTTTTCTTTCAGAAAAATTTTTTAAGTTGTTTCTTCGATGTTTCTCCTTTTACTCTTAATTTCTTTTGTATATCTTGCGAGTTTTAAATTTTCCTAGGCCTCCTTTCCGCATTTTCTTTTATTCCAATTTTTACTAAGACTTTCTCTTTGCTCACATCTTTTCTTCGGAGTACTGTAGTGATTTCAATATATACGAGCAATATGTCGAATTCGCAAGGAAAGAATCTCTATATATTCTGATTTAAAGAAATTGTCCAGCACTTACTGTGATAAAAAAGATTTGGTATTGCATAGCAGTCCAATGCTCCTTATTTTCTGTATAAAGATACCTGCCTATGTCTTACTATTGTGATTAGCATTTGGAAGGCAACATTCACTACCCTCATGCGCGTAAAGATTTCCCGGTCATATTTTCATAGTCTGTTATAACACAGTTAAATTTCTGTACGGGTTTGATTTTGATTCCTGGGTTTTTAAGTCTTTCTGTTAGAGAATCCATTACTTAGGCAGCCGTGAGGGACGTTTATGTTTACTATTGTATTTTAAGTGTCATTCAAAACAGAGGCCTACTGAGTGGGAATGTCGTATAAACTTATAGGGATATCGTATAGACTTATAGGGATGTCGTATGGACTTATAGGGATGTCGTATAGACATAGAGATGTCGTATGAACTTATAGGGATGTCGTATGGACTTATAGCGATGTCGTATAGACTTATAGGGATATCGTATGAACTTATAGGGATGTTGTATGGATTTATAGGGATGTCGAGTGGACTTATAGAGATGTCGTATGGACTTATAGGGATGAATCAAGTATTGACTATTATGAGGATATGTTGGATAGAGAATAGTTGAGCCTCGACTTGAAAATCTTAATTTCGAGTGATCAGGAATGAATCCGTTGGTAGACTGTTGCACATTGGCCAGGAGAAGAAGCTGCCTCAAATGAACTTACTTCTTACCAATGATATATGAAAGGAATGGAAATAAATCTGACTCAGTGTACGTGACACTGCGGATGATAATTTTAAATGCCCGGGCTCACACCGCTATTATTTTAATTACTTTTACTACTCGGCAATGTTTTTTTTTTAATTTTTATTACATTATTTATATTATTCGGACTGTTGTCCTCATCTTTGTTTCCATGTTTCTCACAACGTTTCGGGCGTTGAACGCTCCGGCCTTCTTCAGGTGTTTGGTATATCGAACTGAACCCTTTATTTCGCTCGCTGGGGTAGACTGTTCTAGTTCTACGTGCCGTGTCTAATGAGTGTCAGTTATCAGATATCTCCTGTCAATTTCCCTCTTCAAGTTCTCGACCCCCTTAACCAGGTATTGAACTCACATTCTTTGGGTTCTGTACTGGATCTAACTGTCTTGGATATATATCTTTCATAAAATCTTTAACTTTGTTGAAAGCAAGGAATATGAAAAATATCGATAGAGTAGCGGTAATCTATCAACGCTTCGTATGTGGGAAAGGAGCTGAATGGTAGAAAGCAATTCATCACCCAAAAGACCGCGAAGGTCTCGAATTCTGTCACTGCTGAAAAGTGAAGATTGCATCTACGGCCAAGATGAGGCAGGAATACTCCATTTGAGGTCTGGTCTGTCTCTTGTAACGAAAGCAGGAAATATTTTCTGGGTCTGTACAGGGATATTTTTTCCAGCGACTTTATCGATGGGTTGTATATATGAGTTCTACTTGAGGTTTTCTTTGAGTCTGATTTCCAACCGACGTTCAAAACAATGAGTCTCCTTGCACTCCTACAAAGGAACTTTCTGACAGCAATGATCTTTCTATGTAGTTTTAAGTTCTCGTTTCGTTCTCACCAAGAAAGATATATTGATGTGTTTTTTTTGTTTGTTTTTATTTTATTTTTTTATTGTTGCTTTAAATCCCGTCAGACCGCCCCACCCTTTGCATCTTCTTCTGACCTTTCGCTATCGAATGTGGAAATTCTAGTGACAATAGCCAATTCAACGGCAAAGTGGAAATGTGTTGTGTATTTTTCACAAAGTTTGAAAATGAAAACGTAAGCTTTCGCGAAATTCTTGAAAGAATGATATGGAATTTTTTTAAAATTCAAAAATATTCTATCTATTATTTTCATCTCCGTCATTCTCTCTCTGTCTCTCTCTCTCTCTTCTCTCTCTCTCTCACACACACACACACACACAAACACAGAAACACACACACAAACACAGAAACACACACAGCAAGTCACACACAACAACACATCTACACTCCGCGGTTTACTGTTTTCTTGTCAACTACGATCTTTCAATGCAATGTCGATTGTCATCTTCCATCTGCTTTAATTTGGTTCTTTTATTCTCCTTGCTGTTTCTTTCACTTTCACTAACCCTTTGCTCCTTAGTGGGTTTATCGCCTTTCTTGAGGTGACATTATTAGACGTATCTATCTATCTATCTATCTATCTATCTATCTATCTATCTATCCTTTTCAATTTCTCATATCTTTCTTTCCTTTCTCTGTCTCTATCGATTTTCCTCTCTCTCTCATTCTTTCTATTCCTCTCACTATTTCTTACTCGCTCTTTTTCTCCTTGTTCTTCTCTCTTTCTACCTCTTCCTTTCTCCTCTTACTCTTTCTTTCTCTACTATTATCTTATGTTTATATTTCTCTCCATTTTTCTCACTATATCTCTCCTTATTTCTTTCTCTTACTCTTTCTCCTTATTATCTTGCGATTTCCTTCTTTCCCTCCCTCCCTCTCTTCCTTCCTTCCTCCCTTTTTGTTTTCCTCAACCCCCTCTCTATCCTCTCGTTCTTTCTCTCTCTTCATTACCCATTTCTCCTTTTATATCTCTCTTTCTTTCTCTATTTTTCTTATTCTCTTTTTCTTTTTTTACCGTTTTTCTTATACTATCTTTTAGTTTTCCACACCCTTCTACTCTTCTTCATTTCTCTGTTCAATCGCTCACAACTGCGTTTTCTATCAATATCATTTTCCATATATTTTTCAACTTATTTAATTTGAACACAGAGTTTTATTGTTTCTGCCGGAATTTACGGTATTAGGTTTTATCATTATTTACACATGGACTGTTGTCTTCAGCCAGAGATATATTTGTTTTTATAATGTTTCGGATTTTTTAACATTTGGCTTTCATCAGGTGCTTGCCATCCGGAGCAACCAACAAGCACCTGATAAAAAACTGGAATACAAGATAGCTGAATAGTCAACATGTAAATCTTACTTATTATAAAACGCGGATTGTGTGTGTGTGTGTGTGTACGTTTATTTATTGGATCGGATTTCCTACATTTTTCAACCGATTTCAACAAACCTTCACTGCGTAAAATTACCTTGCGGTGGTTCTGACAGCGCCAAAAATTGGAAAAACACAATTGTTTTTGCACGAAATCAATTTGAAAACACGATAAAACACGATTCTGTCGCCAGAATGAAAGGGGGACAACTCATATCGAGTTATACTTATTATAAAACCCAGGTTGTTTGTTGGTGTGTGTGTTCGTTTATATATAGGATCGGATTTCCTACATTTTTCAACCGATATCAACAAAACTTCATTTTTTTTTTTTGGCAGGTAGTGTTTCTTATTGTCTTGCACACTTTTTTCTTCATTTTTACATTCAGAATGCTTTAAAACTTCTATTTACAAGACAATTGTTTATAATAGAATTCTATTCAATCGATAGACTCATAACGATTGAAAACAATGTTTTTGTTTGAGTTTGGGTTTGACCAATTCGTAAAAAAAAACAAAAAAACAACAAAAAAAAACTAATTAAGACATGCGTGCCCGATAACCTTAAACAATAATCTTTGTCAATTTTATTTTTCAGTCTTTATGACGGTCGATACTTGATCTATCTCTTACTGTTAAATCCCCGGGCAACGCCGGGCTCTCCTGCTAGTAATGTATATAATGCATAATTTATATAATGTACAGGCTCTTCCAATAACATGGACCGATTTTGAATGTGAATTAAGTTTAAGCGTCTAATGATTTTTTTTTCTTTTTTCTTTCAGATTTAACAACTTAAGTCTTTGGCAATTACAATCATGGAAAGATTAATACTCAAACAATGTGTTAAAGTTTCAAGAATGGAATGGGAACAAATTGTTCGTAAATTCAAACAAACTTGGTCGGTGACAGATGTGAAAACACCATTGCGTGCTCGTTTACGCCGTTTAGCTGAAAATATTGCTGCAATGCACGAGAATGTGGCCGAAAATCCTACAACTTCTATTCGTCATCGTGCGCAGGAATTGAACTTCTCCACGGCAATGTTATATCGTTTCCAATTGAACTCTCGTTTGGTCGATTAAGGTGGCCAAAAAAATCGTGAAGTGCGCGAAATACATTTATGTTTGAACGTCGATTTTCGTAATAGGCTTCGATAACTTTAACACGTTGTTTGATTGCTTATCTTTCCATGGTTGAAATTGCCAAAGACTTACATTGGTAAATCTGAAAGGAAAGAAAAAAACATTAGACGCTTAAAATTAATTCACATTTAAAATCAGTTCAAGTTATTGGAATACTCTTTATATAATGTATAATGTATCATAGTCATTATGTAAATAATTTCTTTTTCTCGTATGCCTACCCCATTTTTTTACACTTTTTCTTTTGACATTTTATTTCTCTTTCTACCCTTTTCTTTCCTCCATTCACTTACTCTTTCTTTCGTTTTTCTTTTCTTACTGTCTCTCTTTCGCGCTAACGTACCTTAGCTTCCCTCTATACTTTTCTATAAGTATTTTCATTGTATTTGTTTTTAGCTTTGCCATTTTCTTTCCTCGTCTTTATGAATTAAATTCGCAGTGAAAAATTAGCAGCTACGATTCACAGTTGAATTGGCTGAACTTATCCGGAATTTCTATGACAAGAGTTTCTTCTCTCGCTCTTCTTGCTTATGAAAATCCTTTCCGGTTTCTTGCTTCCCAGTCAACTTCAAAAATTTAATCGTTATCTTCTGGCTTGCTTAATCATGTTCTTTTATTGTTCTCTCTCCTTAATAACGTTTTTTCTTTTCCTCATATTCTTTCAAAGTCATTATCCCTTTACGTATTAGAGGTTTTATTGTTTTGCTTGGGACCAGATGATTAAAAAAAAAACTATTACGATTTCCTTCATTCTCTTGCTTATTCATTTTCCTTTTTTTTTCTCCCTGTCTTTCTTCTCCTTTTCTGTTTCTAACTCTTTTCCTGCCCCACACTCCTACTCTCTCTTTCTTTCTTTTTCTCTCTTTTTATTTCTTTTTATTTTGTCTCTCTGTATAATCCTGTCTTATTTGCTTGTCCCAATGTATCTTTACCTCTTACGCATCCACACAGCGTGATTATAAAAAAAAACTATTATGATCTTCTTCTTTGTCTTCCTTACTCTTATTCTTTCTTTTTCTCCTTCTTTCTCTATCATTCTTACTCTCTTTTTCTTTGTTACTCTTACTCTTTTGTTAACTCTCTTTCTGCTTAACACTCCCACTTTGTCTCTCTCTCTCTCTCTCTCTCTCTATATATATATATATATATATATATATATATATATATATTCCGTCTCTTTATTTTTCTTTCTTTCTATTTCTTTGTTGCCTCTCTGTAACAATGCTGTCTCTATTGGTTGTTGGAATGTGTCTTCACCTCCTACCCATTCACACGTTGCGAGCCTCGATACTTACGAACCAAGTTACATTTCTTTTCTCTTTAGCCGTTTCCTTCATCATCAGATCAACTTTAATTCTTTAGCTTCCATGTCAACGTTGCAGCTAAAGTTTACAAATTAAATTCTCTGCATAAATGATATTTCGCTAGTTACTTTTCGTCTAATATCAATCTTACGAATAAACGAAGTTACGCCAAAGCATTGGCGCACAATGGTCTTTCGTATTAGACGAAGGTTTCTACCTGGCTATTCTACAAACAAGTGACCGGATGCACGATTAGCACACATTATTTAATAATGCTTTTAATTTTCTTGCAAAATGTGACATTAGCAATTTTAATTTATATATTTCCGCTAATGCAGAATATGTGGTTTTAGTCACTTTTCTCGAATTTAATTTCATAATACAAAGAAGTGAAAGTCAAACTTTAAAAACTTTTACATATATTGGTAATTTATGATTTTCTCATGAATAAAAGCGTATTCTTTGAAAGTATATTCTTGGTGATTTGAAATAAGGCTGTCTAAGAAGAGAAATACGAATTGACCAGACAAATTATTCTGGAAAGTGAGAAAATAAAACAAGAAACATCTTTGCACGGACGGAATCATAAGTGCATTAAGTGATAGATACATTTATATATATGGACGAATTAAGATAGATAGATAGATAGATAGATAGATAGATAGATAGATAGATAGATAGATAGATAGATGTGAAAAACTCGAGATGGATATATAGATATATAGATAGATATGAACAAATTGAGATAGATAGATAGATAGATAGATAGATAGATAGATAGATAGATAGATAGATGTGAAAAACTCGAGATGGATAGATAGATATATAGATAGATATGAACAAATTGAGATAGATAGATAGATAGATAGATAGATAGATAGATGTGAAAAACTCGAGATGGATATGTAGATACATAGATAGATATGAACAAATTGAGATAGATAGATAGATAGATAGATAGATAGATAGATAGATAGATAGATAGACAGACAAATTTCCATATTTAGATATATATAAACTGGAATTCATACAAAAGCATATAACCATTTGCGTCAATGTTTCCAAGTACATATGTATTAATACATATAAAACATTTCGGACGTAGCTTACACACAAAACCGTGCACACACGCGCGCGCACGCACGCACATATACAATCTGTAAGGTACGAGGATTCACGCCATATATAAATATATTTATTTCTCAATCTCTATGTCGTGAGGGAAAGTGAGTTTTGGAGGAGGGGAGAGTAATTTCTTCCTGTCGGAATGTTACAACTTTGAAACCCAAATTCGAAATAATTTTCCTAATCGTTCTGTGGAAGGGAAAAGCAGAAGAAGGAAATAGACGGAGGATTTAACAAAAAGTAAAGAAAAAAAAAGAAGAAAAGTCCAATTCCATTTCTAAAATGAGAGAAATATTGAATAAGGTGTTATGATAATGAATAATTTTACCTGCTTATGTGAGAATCTAAAATTACCTGCGGCCAACATTTTTATATTGACGACCAGAAGCGAGCAACAGACCTATTAAAGAAGCCATTGCTGAAGCCCGTTAAATGGAGGCACTCTTTTACTGATAGAGGTAGAAAATAACATCCGCCCGGAGTCGTGATTCGAGGAACCAGTTTTGAGCGGATATATGTATATCTGTTTGTTTGTGTGCGTGTGTGTCTGTCTCTGTGTGTGTGTTTGCGTACGTGTGCGCATGCGCGTGTGGATTGAAAATGCGGCCGACATAGCGGATAAATGTTGAAAAGTAAGCTCTTTGCGTAGGAATTGGTAAAAAAAAAAGACATAGCATCATAGTGTGCAGGTAAACGAGACGAGTAGCGGAAAAGAATTTCTGCAGAAGAACGATAATTTAATTACCAAATTGTTTTATAGGCGGGAGTAAATGGTTTTTAATTGTTGAATCTGAACAAAGGGTAATGTATTATTAATATTATTATTATTATTATCATCATCATCATCATCAACACCGTCATCATCATCGAGGTCGTCATTGTTGTTTTTGCATTATTGAATGATTCAAAAACCGGACATTGAAATAAAGACATTGAGGCAAAATAAAATTTAGAGCATTAATGTGCGAATAAATCAATTTTACTTCAAAATAAATTAACATTATCGGCAACATGACGGTGAGTGGGGCATGATTATTGATTAAATTTTTAGTTGCAAGATTCTATCTTTGCTTAACACATTGACAGCCAA